GGGTTAGACTCCTTGCGGAGGCATTGAAAAAATAATGACCTCTGTTACATATTATTTCACCTGTGATCAACAAACTTGGTACTGTGGCTGACGTTCTGTGATTTGGCAGAATGTTGCATACTTAAAGTAGGTCATTATGTCTCCCCTTCGATTGAAGGGAGACATAGTATTAGTACTGGTTCTTCTTCTTCTTCTAGTTCTTTGAATCGCAACTTGTTCGGGCCATAACTTTAAACCGTTGAAGATATCTTGATGATAGGTATGCAAGAATCACTCACAGAAGGTGTGCAGTGCACTGGAATTAGGTCTCTGTGACCTTCACCTCAAGGTCAAAGTCAAATAAGTGCAACATTTTCAGTAAGTTCTTGTCCGGCCCGTATATTTTAAACTGTTAAAGATATCTTGATCCAACTTGATGTAAACCTGCATCACTTACAGAAGGCGTGCAGTGCAATGAAATCAGGTTTTGTGCCCCCACTACATACAGCGTTGTGGCCCTTTGTTTATTTTAAATACCGAAGTTTGTCCACTGCATAACTTCTAAACCATTAAACTAAACCGTCCGTCCGTCTGTCTGTACGTCCATACGTCAACAATTTCTTTCAACGACTTCTTCTTCTTAACCACTGTTTGAAATTAAACTAAATTTGACCGAAGCATCCCTAGGTGGTGGGGATTTAAAATTGTACAAATAATGGGGCTGACCCCCCAGGGGGCTGAGGGGCGGGGGCAAAAGGGGTCAATTTGCTCATATTGCTTTAAGCGACTTCTTCTCTGGAACTAAGAAGTGGATATCAACCATATTTGACTGGAAGCATCCCTAGGTGGTGGTGATTAAAAATTGTACAAATGGTGGGGCTGACTCCCCAGGGGGCTGAGGGGCGGGGCCCAAAGGGGGCAATTTGGCTATATTGCTGCAAACGACTTCTTCTGTAGAACTGTGCACTGGATATCAATCATATTTGATCAAAAGCATTCCTGGGAGGCAGGGATTTAAAATTGTACAAATGGTGTGGCTGACCCCCCAGGGGGCTGAGGGGCAGGGCCAAAAAGGGTATTTGGCTATACTGCTTTAAGTGACTTCTTCTCTGGAACTAAGTGATGGATATCAACCTTATTTGACTGGAAGCATCTCTAGGTGGTGGAGATTCAAAATTGTACAAACGGTTGGGCTGACCCCCCAGGGGGCTGAGGGGCGGGGCCAAAAGGGGGCAATTTGGTTATATTGCTATAAATGACTTCTTCTGCAGAACTATGCCATGGATATTGATCATATTTGGTCGGAAGTATTCATGGGAGGCAGGGATTCAAAATTGTACAAATGGTGGGGCTGACCCCCCGGGCTAAGGGGTGGGGCCAATAAAATGTATTACTTGGAAATGGTTGAGATCCCCACCATATAACCATATATACAATTGCTGAGTATAAAGAGAAGAATGCACATTTGCTTCCAGGATGTCCCTAGGGTCTGGCCCCACCCTTGGAGACATAGTCCCTGGGCCATAACTTTAAAACGGTTGAGATCCCCACCCCAAAACTATATATACAAATGCTGGGCATAAAGAGACGAATGCAATCATGATATCAGAATAGACCCTGGGGTCTGACCGAACCCCTAGGGACCTAGTTTCTTAGTCACAGCTTGGAAACAGTTGAGAGCCCCACCCTATAACCGTATATATACAATTGCTGAGTATAAAGAGATGATTGCACATATGCTTCCAGGTTGGCCTTGGGGACTGCCCCACCCTTGGAGACTTAACCCCTGGGTCATAACTTTGAAATGGTTAATATCCCCACCCCAAAACTATATATACAATTGTTGGGCATAAAGAGACGAATGCAGTCATGATATTAGAATTGATCCCAGGGTCTGCCCCACCCTTGCAGACTTGGCCCCTGGGTCATAACTTTGAAACGGTTGAGATCCCCACCCCAAAACTATATATACAAATGCTTGGCAAAAAGAGACAAATGCAGTCACGATATTAGAATCGATCCTGGGGTCTGGCCACAACTCTAGGGACCTAGTTTCTGAGTCAAAGCTTGGAAACAGTTGAGATCCCCATCTCATAACCATACATAAAATTGCTGGGCATGAAAAATCTAATATAGCTTTGCTACAAGGATTGGCCTTGGGGTCTGGCATATTCCCTTGATCTCATTTGGAGAATAGTTTGCCATGATTGCTTAGATATCCAGGTGAGCGATACAGGCCCTCTGGGCCTCTTGTATACAGAGTTATGGCCCTTTGTTTATTTTTAATACCAAAGTTTGTCCACAGTATAACTTCCATGTTATTTCACCTACGTTGACCATATTTGCTATAGTTTTAATGTATCTTGGGAAGTAGGAGTGTCATATTCTAAATTCGGGTCTCATGTCCTACTGTATAAGGAGACATGGCCCTTTGTTAATTTTTTATACCGAAGTTTGTCTCTTGGCTAATAAGGGGAGACATGTTTTTGTTCACAGAAACAAAATTCTAGTTGTGAACTATATTTGACCTGTGACATCTAATAAAAAGATTGTGCTAAATATTTCTCCTTTACAATTATATACCTGGAAATTTTTGCAACAATTAAACTTTCGCCTTTTTCGTCCTCTGGAATGAAGGGTAATTTATCATGACAGTGAAAATAAGTTCACAACTTACTATGCATAGTAATAATATGTGAGGGCAAATTTAACATACACAAAAAACAGATTCTACCAGTAAAGGGTGAAAAATTGACTCAGTTTTTCTGCTTACAGTATTTCATCTCGGTTTATCAAATTTGTAGTAATAACATGAGAAGGGTGAAAATAGCACTTTGTGAAATAGATTCTACCAGTAAAGGGCAGATTGGTCAAGTGGTTTACACTCAGACTTCCACGCAGGTGGCCGGGGATCAATCCCTGAAGACGTTGTACGCATGAATATTCAGAGAAAGTGTTTTTCTCCTGCCCACACAACTCCAACAACTCAGGTGGAGTATAAATTGGTCTGGGGTGGGTGTTGTGGTATCTGTGCTGTAGTATTCAATTGAGCTAGGTGGCACGATAAATGATGCCGTTGGAAGCACGGTCCCACTACAAACAACACATTACATCTCCATTATACACGCAGGCATACACACAAAGGGAGACATTAGCCAGGTGGCATAGGACAAGTAGTTAGGGCCTGATAAGGCAGCACCTGCAAATTCTCAAACATTGTATTGATTAATGTAAAATGCTTATTGTTTTAATTGTTTTGATTGTATATCTATGTACTGTAAAGCGCTTTGGAGTGGCTTATTCTAGCTTTATCAAAAATGTTGTATATTATTATTATCATTAAGGGAGCAAAATTGATTGGGTGAAAGTACTCCAGCCTACAGTATTTCATCTTGTTTATCAAGTTTGTTATATGCTAACATTTTTGACCACCATCATATTCAAATCACCCTGCGTCCGTGGTCCATCCGTCGTCCGCCGTCCGCCGTCCGCCGTCCGTCCTTAAACAATTCTTGTTATCAGTATTTCTCAAAAAGAACCAGAGGGATCTTTCTCAAATTTTATATGCAGGTTCCCCTTGGTCCATAGCTGTGCAGGGCAACTTTTGAGACTGATCGGATAAACAACATGGCCGACAGGCAGCCATCTTTGATTTTGATATAGAAAGTTTGTTATCGCTATTTCTCAAGAAGTACTACAGGGATCTTTCTCAAATTTTATATGTAGGTTCCCCTTGGTCCGAAGCTGTGCAGGGCAACTTTTGAGACTGATCGGATAAAAAACATGGCCGACAGGCAGCCATCTTGGATTTTTATAGTGAAAGTTTGTTATCGCTATTTCTCCAGAGGTATCAGAGGGATCTTTCTCAAATTTTAAATGTAGGTTCCCCTTGGTCCTTAGCTGTGCAGGGCATTTTTAGCCCACCATCATCTGATGGTGGGCTATTCAAATCACCCTGCGTCCGTGGTCCGTGGTCCGTCTGTTGTCCGTCGTCCATCCGTAAACAATTCTTTGTTATTGGTTTAGAGACTGATCGGATAAACAACATGGCCGACAGGCAGCCATCTTAGATTTTGATAGTAAAAGTTTGTTATCGCTATTTGTAGGGATGTACGGAAGGGATCTTTCTCAAATTTTATATGTAGGTTCCCCTTGATCTCTCGTTGTACATGTTATATTTTGAGACTGATCATAAAAACAAAATGGATTAAAAGAAGAACTAAACAGATCTTTCTCATATTGCAATGATCGATTCTATTTTTTTCACTTAATTTAAGTACTGCACTAGTAAATATGTGAAATGACAAACTCACTTTGAAGGTTGGCTTTCATACACATCAGTATTAAGTTTAGATCAAAAGTTACCTCAAGGTGCGTTTACCGTTTAACATGACTCGATCAAACAGATTAGAGGAAAGAAGAGAAAAGATCGAACTGACAAAGATTTAATGAAGATCGTACAAACGTGGGCGCCAAGATCCCTCTGGGATCTCTTGTTTGGATGGTTGAGGGCATCATGCACAATAAAAATAGGTCACTATGACCTTTATTTGAAATTTGGATATTTATCATTGAAAACGTCATAAATGATAATTACCGTATTATAGTGTCTGAGAGTGCCAAATCTTGTACAGGGACACATCATGGAATTTCAAAGAGTTATATATGCTAAAAACAAGTCACTGACCATTCTTTGATCTTTGACCTTTATATATGAACAAATTGTTTGCCTGGAACATATCTTTTATACAATGTCTAGAAACACCTTGTTTATCTAGATACATTCCAGGACGGTCAAAGTGATAACTATCAGGGTTGCCAACTCCCACGGCGTGAGACAAAAACTCACGCAAAAACGTCCTTACTCACGCTGAAACAATCCTCACGCCACGTGAGGTATAAATCTCACGCATTCGAAAATATTCTCCCTCTATCCCACGCGAAGCCATAAATCGGCAATTTTTAGCTTGGGTCGTACAAAGGGGAATAACTCATATTGCAACGTTGTGCTTTGGAAGTGAGCTGACGAGAGGTGTCGCTTTACATCCGGTGGAAACGAATGTAATATATCGTAAGGTGAGTTGTTTTCACAATCGTCTGGTGGATAATTATACCGAACTACTCGGTAGTGAAGCGGACATAAAACCTGTCAATCAAGTTGTTTTCACTCGTAAACTTAATATTGAACGTACCTATCGCACAGAAAAAGAAAGTTTTACTAATAATATCGTCGTGTATTAGGAGATTGTTTTTGGGTCCTGCCTTCACAAATATTAAGAGAAAACGATTCTTGAATCACGAACAGACAGCCGCTGATGGCTGATGAAAAGTTCGAAGTTATTTTTTGCAGTAAAGTGGCGTATATGATTTAACACACCAGAGACTTGTAGTAATAAACAATTTTAATCTGATGCGATGAAAAAATAACGTGATCGGATTGCAAACGTGGTATAAATGCTAAGGGTCTTACTGTTATTTGTTGCTTAGAATAGTAGCCAGAAGTAATTGTAAAATATTTTTCCACTGTCAAATTATCATATTTTCATGTTATGAACTTTTTCATGTTACTATGGTAAAGTTCTTACTTTTGATATGAACTGTTTTTTAAACAGGTCATGGAAATACAGAAAAAAGACTGCTACCTGTTCTAGGCAAGGGTGGAATCGTTACAAGAAAGGCCTTTGATTATATGATGTGTTGCATTTCTGATGTCAGTTTTTTTTGTGTAATAAATAAAAATCTTTTATATATCTGCAAAAAATGTTTTGTTTTATTTTCCTACAAAGATCTTGAAGAGAAAATATCAACAATGCAGATGTTATAGTAGTCAGAGAAAGCCAGGATTTGTTTGATACATTTGTAAATGTTATCTTAATTAACACCCAAAACGACGTTACGCCGCGACGCCGTCAAAAGTCTCACACATTGAAAAACCCAGTGGAGGGAGATCTCCCACACTGGACTCCTAAGAGGTTGGCAACCCTGTAACTATTGGAACAGCAGATCACTGTAACCTGTGTATTCACTTTTGGCCTATTAATGAGAGTTTGTAAATTCGTCTTTGCGTATTGCAGAGTTATCTTCTCTTGGGAGCAGGTATTGATTGTTACGTCATTGGTTTGTGTGAGAAAATCACGTCATTTTCTCAAAAATTGATGACGTTACTCTCACAAACAAGTGACGTAACAATCAATACCTGTTCCCAAGAGAAGATAACTCTGCAATACGGAAAGACGGAATAGCATAACCAACATCAGTTCTGTAACTCCTAGCAACACCTTGAAGCTTAAGGGTCCATGTACCATTGCCATTAGAAAGTACAAATTTATTGAAAACAAAATTTTCGGCATGACTTGATTTGATAAATCAGTTCTGAAAATAAAAACGTACCTTGCAGAAATTTTGTGAAAAATAAATACAAATGAAGCATACAAAAGAACAAAAGTGTAAAAATGCGTCGGGGCTAGACTAGGATTCCAATCCTGGACATCTGATCATAACTGTTGCTTTAATAAATTACTTGAGCTACCTGGTCAAAGGTAAAACCCTACCCAGTCGCACTACAGCTATATACAAATGAAATGGAAGGGAGATAACTGTATGTAAGAAAGAATTATAATGGAACTCTCTAGTGTTTTATCTACAGTGGGACAAGGATCCTTAAGGATCCCCGTACCACTGCCGAAAACGGTAACTAAGTGTTGGAGACTTTTTTTGCGGCATGATTATAACTTTGAAAAATAATTTCTGGAAAGAAAACTATACCTTACAGGACTTCTATGAGAAATCATAAAGATAAAATAATGAAATATAATCAACAACAGTGTTCTGAGTGTAACATTCAGCGGGGCTAGACCAGGATTCGAACCCTGGACTTCAGATTGTTATACTATGGCTCCAACCGATTGAGCTACCACCTTATCAGCGGAAGTTACATCCAAACAGAAGTTTAAGGGGAGGTAACTGTATAAAGGACAACCCACAGTGCAGTGGGACAGGGATCGTTAAGTACATTAATTGTACATGGGCTTTTCTTGTTCCATGTTTTGTTTGTTCAAGTCCATTAAGTATGTATGATAAATAGGCATTGTTATTATTTGCAAAAACTTGGAGGTAATTTGGTGAATGTAAATAGTGTAATGAAAACAAAATTAACAATTTGTTGGAAAATGTATTAGAGCATGCAGTTTTTACACTGATAAGCTACATAGAATACGCAGAACACCAGTGTTTTGATAGGAAATATTACCAGCTGTCGCTACTTAAAGTGGACAGCGCAAAGTAAAAGCATTTTGTCACTTATAATAAATTTGAAAGTGACAAATGTAGACTTTATGATGACAAATAAATTTATGATGTGTGTTTTAGACCTTTAACAGTGTAAAAAACTCCATGTAGAGATAACGCTGTATGCTATCAGCTATATTTGACTGATATTTATTTGTTAGACTTGGTGTCGAAAACTTTTAAGAAGCTTAGCAACTCCACTGGGCAAATATGTGTTTGTAATCCCACTTAATGTCCCTGATGCAATTTGGCATTAGGAGAGCATGCCTGCACTACCGAATCAGAGGCTTATAGCTTTTTATTGAATTAAACTGCATGCAAGTTCAAATACAGGGTTTTCAATTTTTTGTCCATTGAGGCTCAGCCATCTCTTAACATTCTTTAAATCAATTGTTCAGTTGCTATCATACCGAGCTGTAAAAACGTTGGTATAGTGAGAAGTTTATACACCGTACAAGATTTATGGGTATTCGTACGATTTTTAACAATTCACAACACTTTGATTAATGATTCGTAAAAAACATTATTGGGTTGATTACTCAATTAGTATTGGGTGTTAAGTGTGTCTATCTTCATCATAGCCTCCTATTTATCAAGGTCAAATTTGAAAAAAACCAGTTGTTATCTTAATGGAGGATGCAGACGTATTGCAAAGCAAAGTGTTTCTAGGTGTTGCTGCTATTTTTGTGCATTAAAATATTTCAATATATTTCATAAAAAATGTTGTGATGATTTCGCTGTGATGTATATATATACAATTATGTTGACTTTGTATGTTGCAAAGTTTAGGAATTTCTTTAAAGTCAGAATCTAATTTTTAATTGCATTTGTTCTTCTATCTGTGTTAAGGTCTGACATCTGTACTTGTTGGTTTTTACATGCCTACTTCATTTGATTGCTATCTTGCACTTACTGGATGTTTGATTAATTGAATGTTTGCTATCTTGCACTAATTAGATGTTTGCTATCTCTTTTTTAAGTTTGGTATTTTGCTATCTCCCTCTAGTTTAATGTTTGCTATCTCCCTTTAGTTGGATGTTTTGCTATCTCCCTCTGGTTTGTTTTTTTGCTATCTCCGTCTGGTTTGATGTTTTTCTATCTCCCTCTAGTACAATGTTTTTTTAACTCCCTTAAGTTGGATGTTTTGCTATCTCCCTCTAATTGGATGTTTTGCTATCTCCGTCTAGTTAGATTTTTGCTATCTCCCTCTATTTTGATGTTTTGCTATCTCCCTTTAGTTGGACGTTTTGTTATCTCCCTTTAGTTTGATGTTTTCCTATCTCCCTTTAGTTTGATGTTTTGCTATCTCCTTATAGTTTAATATTTGCTATCTCCCTCTGATTTGATGTTTGTTATCTCCTCTAGTTGGATGTTTTTCTATCTCCCTCTAGTTGGATGTTTTGCTATTTCCTTCTAGTTAGATGTTTTGCTATCTCCCTCTAGTTGGATGTTTTGCTATCTCCCTCTAGGTGGATGTTTGCTATCTCCCTCTGTTTAGTGTTTTGCTATCTCCCTCTAGTTGGATGTTTTGCTATCTCCGTCTAGTTGGATGTTTTTATATCTCCCTTTATTTTAATGGTTGCTATCTCCCTCTAATTAAATGTTTGCTATCTCCCTGTAGTTGGATGGTTGCTATCTTCCTCTGGTTTGATGTTTTTCTAACTCCATCTTGTTGGACGTTTTGCTTTCTCCCTCTAGTTTGATGTTTTTATATCTCCCTCTATTTTAATGTTTGCTATTTTCTTCTAGTTGGATGTTTTGCTATCTATCTCTAGTTGGATGTTTGCTATCTCCTTCTAGTTTGATATTTTGCTATCTCCCTTTAGTTGGATGTTTTTCTATCTCCCTCTAGTTGAATGTTTTGCTATCTCCTTCTAGTTTGATGTTTTTCTATCTCCCTTTTGTTGGATGTTTGCTATCTCCTTCTAGTTTGATGTTTTGCTATCTCCCTCTAGTTGGATGTTTTTATATCTCCTTCTAGTTGAATGTTTTGCTATCTCCTTCTAGTTTGATGTTTTTCTATCTCCCTTTTGTTGGATGTTTGCTCTCTCCCTCTAGTTTGATGTTTTGCTATCTCCCTGTAGTTAGGTGTTTGCTATCTCTCTCTAGTTGGATGTTTTGATATCTCCCTCTAGTTGGATGTTTTGCTGTCTCCCTCTAGTTAGTCCCGAGGTAGTGGGGATTCAAAATTGTACAAATGGTGGGGCTGATCCCCCAGGGAGCTGAGGGGCGGGGCCAAAAGGGGGCAGTTTGGCTATATTACTTTAAGTGACTTCTCTGGAACTAAGAAGTGGATATCAACCATATTTGACTGGAAGCATCCCTTGGTAGTAGAAATTCAAAATTGTACAAATGGTGGGACTGACCCCCCAGGGGGCTGAGGGGCGGGGCAATTTGGCTCTATTACTACAAATGATTTCTACTGTAGAACTATGCACTGGATATCAATCATATTTGATCAAAAGCATTCATGGGAGGCAGGGATTCAAAATTGTACAAATGGTGTGGCTGATCCCTCAGGGGGCTGAGGGGCAGGGAAAAAGAGTTATTTGGCTATACTGGTTTAAGCGACTTCTTCTCTGGAACTAAATGATGGAAATCAACCATAATTGACTGGAAGCATTCCTAGGTGGTTGAGATTCAAAATTGTAAAAAATGGTGGGGCTGACCCCCCAGGGGCTTTGAGGTGGGGACAAAAGGGGCAATTCGGCTATATTGCTACAAACAACTTCTTCTGTAGAACTGTGCTCTGGATATCAATCAAATTTGATCAAAAGCATTCATGGGAGGCAGGGATTCAAAATTGTACAAATGGTGTGGCTGATCCCTCAGGGGGCTGAGGGACAGGGACAAAAAGGGTTATTGAGCTTTAAACGACTTCTTCTCTGGAACTAAGTGATGGATGTCAACCATACTTGACTGGAAGCATCCCTAGGTGGTGGTGATTCAAAATTGTACAATTGGTGGGGCTGATCCCCCAGGGGGCTAAGGGCGGGGCCAAAAGGGGGCAATTTGGCTATATTGCTATAAACGATTTCTTTTGTAGAACTATGCCATGGATATCGATTATATTTGGTTGGAAGCATTCATTGGAGGCAGGGATTCAAAATTGTACAAATGGTGGGGCTAACCCCCCGAGCTAAGGGGTGTGGCCAAAAAAGTTTATTACTTGGAAATGGTTGAGATCCTTACCATTATAACCATATATACAATTGCTGAGTATAAAGAGAATAATGCACATTTGCTTCAAGGATGGCCCTAGGGTCTGATCCTACCCTTGGAGACATAGTCCCTGGGTCCTAACTTTGAAATGGCTGAGATCCCCACCCCAAAACTATATATACAAATACTGGTCAGAAAGAGACAAATGCAGTCATGTTATTAGAATTGATCATGGGGTTTGGCCACAACCCTAGGGACCTGGTTTCTGAGTCACAGCTTGGAAACAGTTGAGATCCCCACCCCATA